AATGCTAACAGCCATAAAAGGGGAAATCAACAGTAAAACAATAATAGTAGCGGACTTTAACACCCCACTTTCACCAATGGACAGATCATCCAAAATGAAATAAATAAGGAAACACAAACTTTAAATGACATATTAGACCAGATAGACTTAATTGATATTTATAGGACATTCCATCCAGAAACAACAGAATACACTTTCTTATCAAGTGCACATGGAACATTCTCCAGGACAGATCATACCTCGGGTCGCAAATCAAAACTCAGTAAATTTAAGAAAATTGAAATCATATCAAGTATCTTTTCCGACCACAATGCTATGAGACTAGATATCAATTACAGTAAAAAAAAAAAAATTGTAAAAAATACAAACACATGGAGGCTAAACAATATGCTACTAAATAACCAAGAGATCACTGAAGAAATCAAAGAGGAAATCAAAAAAATACCTAGAAACAAATGACAATGAAAACATGATGACCCAAAACCTATGGGATGCAGCAAAAGCAGTTCTAAGAGGGAAGTTTATAGCAATACAATCATACCTCAAGAAACAAGAAAAATCTCAAACAACTTACCTTTCTGCATCTCAATAGATGCAGAAAAAGCTTTCGAAAAATTCAACACCAATTTATGATAAAAACTCTCCAGAAAGTGGGCATAGAGGGAACCTACCTCAACGTAATAAAGGCCATATATGACAAACCCACAGCCAACATCATTCTCAATAGTGAAAAACTGAAACCATTTCCTCTAAGATCAGGAAAAAGACAAGGTTGCCCACTCTCACTACTATTATTCAACATAGTTTCAGAAGTTTTAGCCACAGCAATCAAAGAAAAAGAAATAAAGGAATCCAAATCGGAAAAGAAGAAGTAAAGCTGTCACTGTTTGCAGATGACATGATACTACACATAGAGAATCCTAAAGATGCTACCAGAAAACTACTAGAGCTAATCAATGAATTTGGTAAAGTAGCAGGATACAAAATTAATGCACAGAAATCTCTTGCATTCCTATACACTAATGATGAAAAATCTGAAAGAGAAATTATGGAAACACCCCCATTTACAACTGCAACAAAAAGAATAAAATACCTAGGAATAAACCTACCTAAGGAGACAAAAGAACTGTATGCAGAAAACTATAAGACATTGATGAAAGCAATCAAAGATAACACAATCAGATGGAGAGATAGACCATGTTCTTGGATTGGAAGAATCAATATTGTGAAAATGACTATACTACCAAAGCAATCTACAGACTCAACGCAGTCCCTATCAAACTACCAATGTTGTTTTTCACAGAACTAGAACAAAAAATTTTACAATTTGTGTGGAAACACAAAAGACCCTGAATAGCCAAAGCAATCTTGAGAAAGGAAAAAAGAGCTAGAGGAATCAGGTTCCCTGACTTCAGACTATAGCACAAAGCTACAGTAATCAAGACAGTATGGTATTGGCACAAAAACAGAAATATAGATCAATGGAACAGGAATAGAAAGCCCAGAGATAAGCCCACACATATATGGCCAACTTATCTTTGAAAAAGGAGGCAAGAATATACAATGGAGAAAAGACAGCCTCTTCAATAAGTGGTGCTGGGAAAACTGGACAGCTACATGTAAAAGAATGAAATTAGAACACTTCCTAACACCATACACAGAAATAAACTCTAAATGGATTAAAAACTTCAATGTAAGGCCAGACACTATAAAACTCTTTGAGGAAAACATAGGCAGAACACTTTATGACATAAACCACAGCAAGATTCTTTTTGACCCACCTCCTAGAGAAATGTGAATAAAAAACAAAAATAAACAAATGGGACCTAATGAAACTTAAAAGCTTTTGCACAGCAAAGGAATCCATAAACAAGTCAAAAGACAACCCTCAGAATGGGAGAAAATATTTGCAAATGAAGCAACTGATAAAGGATTAACCTCCAAAATTTATAAGCAGCTCATGCAGCTCAATATCAAAAAAGGAAACAACCCAATCCAAAAATGAGTAGAAGACCTAAATAGACATTTAGGTATAGAAGAAGATATACAGATTGCCAACAAACACATGAAAGGATGCTCAACATCACTAATCATTAGAGAAATGCAAATTAAAACCACAATGAGGTATCACCTCACATCGGTCAGAATGGCCATCATCAAAAAATCTACAAACAGTAAATGCTGGATTGGGTGTGGAGAAGAGGGAGCCCTCTTGCTTGTTGGTGGGACTGTAAACTTGATACAGCCACTATGGAGAACAGTATGGAGGTTCCTTAAAAAACTAAAAATAGAATAACCATATGATCCAGCAATCCCACTACTGGGCATATACCCTGAGAAAACCATAATTCTAAAAGAGACGTGTATCACAATGTTCATTGCAGCACTATTTACAATACCCAGGACGTGGAAGCAACCTAAGTGTCATCGACAGATGAATGGATAAAGAAGATGTGGCACATATATACAATGGAATGTTACTCAGCCATAAAAAGAAATGAAACTGAGTTATTTGTACTGAAGTGGATGGACCTAGAGTCTGTCATACAGAGTGAAGTCAGAAAGAGAAAAATAAATACCGTATGCTAACACATATATGGAATGTAAAAAAAATGGTTTTGATGAACCTAGGGATACGACAGGAGTAAAGGCACAGATGTAGAGAATGGACTTGAGGACACAGGGAGGGGGAAGGGTAAGCTGGGACGAAGTGAGAGAGTAGCACTTTGGTAATTTACATTACCAAATGTAAAATAGATAGCTAGTGGGAAGCAGCTGCATGGCACAGGGAGATCAGCTTGGTACTTTGTGACCACCTAGAGAGGTGGGATAGGGAGGGTGGGAGGGAGATGCAAGAGGGAGGGGATATGGGGATATATGTATACATATAGCTGATTCAGTTTTTTATACAGCAGAAACTAACACAGCATTGTAAAGCAATTATACTCCAATAAAGATGTTAAAAAACTAGTGTGACAGGAAGAACTGGATGGGCTCAGTGGCAGAGGCTGGGCTTTCAGACCAAGGAGAGCTGGTCCTCCTGCCCTACCAGCCTGTCTATCATACCAGTACCTGCTCCACTGGAACCTGAGTCATGGACTCAGACAGCAACTTCCTGCCTGGATTCTGGACACTTCTGTGTCCTCCTGGCCCTGTGCACTGAATCCTGTCTCTCGTCATTTTCTTTTTATTCACCATTTTAATTTGTTCTGTGGTCAAGTGGGCCCTCTTTTTTTTGTAGCTGATTTACTCCCTTTGATGTATATACTAAACAGTTTTTTATCTCTATACAAATACCATGACTAAGAATAAGAAAGTATTATGAAAAGTATTGAAGGACTATATAAATGAAAATATAATTATTATTGCTTTTAAGTGGGGAATATTAAATAAAAGTGCTTTGAAGAAAACATAAAGCTTTCATAATGGTCTGAGCTATTCATGAGATGGAAATTCATTTTACAAAGGAGGAAGTTGAGGTGGAGTGAAATCAAGTGATTTGCCCAAGAACCCAGAGTTAGTTTGTGGCACAGCCAGAAAAGAAATCAAGTTCAACACAATTTCTATAGTTCATGTTGCTTTAACTGAACTGAATTATATCTAGCAAATATGCAAAGATTTATTTACTGCTAGCATCCCTCAAAATGTCAATGGAGATGGTAGAAGTGGCATCTGTGACCCATATACTCTACCATTAAGTTAAATTCTCTGCCAACAATACTCATACTCAAACCACTTTTTTGTCCATACTGTTGTATATCTTGCTCAATTTCACTCTTAAACTTTTTAAACTTATTTTTTTGAATTAAAAATATATCTGTCTTATGTTTTCTATAAGAAATACCTAGAGGTTTTATCTACTTTATTAGCCTGAGAGTTGTTTAAAGCCAAAACTATGTGTATTCCTTATATACCCAAAGCATCTCAAATCGAACTTAACATCCTATAGTGACTTACATTATTTCCCTTCATAATTCACAAAAGTTTTGAATCTGCTCTATCTCTGATGTGGCAGTAGGCCCAAATGTACATATAGCCAAGAACTCTTCCAAGGTGGAATTTCAGCCTTGTGGACTTATCACTCCTTATATATTCTATATCCAAACTGATCTAATTGACATTTACAGAACATTACACACTACAACTGAGGAGTTCACATTCAGGTAACGGGGAGTCTTTGCTTTTGCATGGTACCATGTTAAATGAAATCTGTATATATCAAAAGCTTTACATGTCCCTGATATCCATGAATTTCAGTTAAGACAGCACTGTGCAAAGCAAGGATAGCTTGTAATGGACCATTCACCACTATAAAACATATGGAGTGCCACAAAACAAGTCTGAAAATACTTCAAAGGACTGAAATGACAGAGTATGTTATCTGACATGACAGAATTAAATTAGAAACTGATAACAATAAAACAGCAAGAAAACCCTCAAATATTTCGAAACTAAGCAACAAACTTCTAAATGATCCATAGGTTAAAAAAAAAAAAAAAAAAGTACATATAGCATCCAGCATAATTCACCCAAGAAATACTTGTTGGATTGAAATGAACCCAAATGTTGAGGTTGAAACATTTTGACTAGAGAGGATCTGAAGGAGCATATATTCTTCTTCACCATTGGAGCTACTGAGAAAAGCCTTGGGCCTAAAGAACAATACTTTCTTCCACTACTTCCACTACTGATTTAAGTAGAAAGTATGTTTTAGGAAAATGTTATGGAAATAAATGTCTATGGGTGATGCTCAAAACTGAGTAGTAAAACAGATCCTTCAAAAAGCATATTGTCATACAATATGCTTCAGTCAGCACTTTAAAAATTTCAAATGTAGAGATTTTCTTTTTTTTGGTCGTAGCTTTCAAAATGTTTGAATCCATTACTCTAATTGTACTTTCAGCCAAATATTGCACACCTGAAAAAACAATGTGGAACATCGTCTCAAGAATTAACTTGTTTTGGCTACAAAACAAAAAACCCTAAATAAATACATATACCTTAGCTGCGTTGATGAAACATGTTTGCAATTGCCTCCCCAAAACCAGAAAATTTTCTACAGCAGATGGAAGCAATTCATTGTAAAATTCCTCTGCATCTTCTCCTGGTTCCAAACCCACACAGCAATGGCTGAAATAAGAGCACAAGTTTGTGATTCAGTTTGTGCTAATTATAAATTTTAGATGAATGCTAAAGCTTCTATAGACACCATGCCTTGATGAGAATTTTTAGTATCTTTCTTTTGTTGCCAAGCCAATAAAGAACTTTTACAGGAAAATTAGTGTAACGACTTTCTTAACAAGTAACAAGTAAACAGTGGTGTGGATTTTGCCTGTACTTAGAGCTAGGCCTTACCTGTCCTAAAAACTTACTTGTCAATCCTTCAGGAAACAAAATACACTTGGCTCACAATAAAGAGAAAGAGGCAAGTTTTCAGTGAAGGGGCTACACACACTCTAAAAGCAATAGAATACCATTCAAGAGTAACATATGTGTTAACTGATACATTTTACACATCAGATAGCTGAAAAATAGCTAGGGTAGCATTAGTCTACAAGGGACAGATAATCAATTTTTTCCAACAGATCTACTTTCCTAAAATCTGAAAAATATCTGACTGCACATTCCCTACATCAGAAGAGGAGACAGCAAAAAGTCTAGTAGGAACAGTTTACAATATACATTGAAAGAGAGAAGGTTATTTAGAGAAATGGGTCCTCTTGAAACCACACATAAAGTCACCCCCTGGATACGAAACGAGTATATTCAAAAGCCTCAACGGTAAGAATTATTTGTACAGACTAATACCAAAAAAAGTCCCCAATCCAAGAATGGTCTCTATGTGTGTACTCTAATAAGTAAGTATCGATGTTAGAGGCTTGTGCAGACACTGATAAGCAACAGTGACTACATACTGAGTACACTAAAAACTGACTAATGCTCAGTGTCTTTTTTTTTTTTTGCGTATCAGTTCCTAAGGTCAATAGACTTACACTCACATGTACCAGTTTCTCTTTTCCCTTTGGTTTCTAAAGTTAATTAAGAGTACTATTTTCATTGAAAATGTTAATAAATGAAATACATTTTTTGTACGTTCACAAACATGGGGATTTCTTAAGACTTGGAGTCCACTTCTGAGAGCCTAGCTCCATCAATATTTCCATGAGCTAACATATCTAACAACACAAAGACATAAGGCTTTATTTACTTAAGGAAATAATTAATCTTGAAAATTAAGGTATTAAAAAATATTACATGTGTTAACTGTTTTTCCTAACTGTATACCTTGAATCTGGCCTTTATCTATCTATGTTTAATTATAAGCAGTTTCAAAAGCTAAGATCCAACTAGTACTGCACATTTTCAGTTACTTAATTAGGAAGTGGCTTAGACACTGAGAACACCTGATTTATTTTATTGCCTCCTATATGAAAAAAGATTTTGATCTTTTTCTCAAAATTTCTAGCATGGCTGATCTAGCATCTACTGATCAGTAAATGCTGCTTCTAAATTTATTGACATGATTTGGGTTACTTAATGAAATATACAGTTGAGACAGCTATACCAATACACTGTGAAATTAAGTTTCTGTATCTCTTCTTCTGCAGCCCTTTGCTTATGCCTTTCATTTCAGCACCTATTTCATTCTGCCTTGTATGATAAATCCACATGACTGTCATCCCATGTCTACTGTAAGTTTTTCCAGTATAAAGCCAGTGCCTTAATCTATTTATTTCTTCAATATTCTTTAGTCTTTAGTCTATTAGGCCCTTGGGATTCAGTGGTGAGCACAAGATCACCATCTTCGTAGAGCTTATGGAGTGAAATTGACAGTGAAATATTCACAAATACAGTTAGGAATAATAATATATAGTATGAAGGAAAAGTACATCCATAACATACCATGGGATGCCAATGCTTGTTAGCCAGATGAAGCAAAGAAAGCAAATGTTGAAATTAAGAATCTACTCAGGCTTCCCTGGTGGCGCAGTGGTTGAGAGTTCGCCTGCCGAAGCAGGCGACACAGGTTCGTGCCCCGGTCCGGGAAGAACCCACATGCCACGGGGCGGCTGGGCCCGTGAGCCATGGCCGCTAAGCCTGCGTGTCCGGAGCCTGTGCTCCGCAATGGGAGAGGCCACAACAGGGAGAGGCTCGCGTACCGCAAAAAAAAAAAAAAAAAAAAAAGAATCTACTACTATATCCCTTAACAACAAGCTGATTTATTGTTCATTTTACCTTAATATCTGTGTAAGCTGGGAAATTGTAGTCCAACCACCCTGGATTCGAGAACAATCTTGACTGAGGACCAAGAGGCAATACTGAATGAGATCATAACAATATATATCTTGTTTGACTTTCTTCAACTCTGAGCTTCCAAAAGGTGTGTTGTTTATTATTTCTAAGGCAAAAGGAAATAAGATATACTTATTTTTGCTCAATAAATCCAAGAGTTATCCGTATTTTTATAGGTTGAATAATGACTAAAAATACATTAAAAAGGAAAAAGAAATCACTGCTTTATCACAGTGTTAAGATTTCACTGAACAAATTAAAAACAAATGCTAAAATTGTACCCATGATGGAATTTGTTTTGTTAAAGTGTCAGCCGATCACAAAAAGATTTTCTTACCTTTTAACTTCAACAGTATAACAGGGACATTCTGCTCAGGACTTATTGCAACTTCAGCAGCTAGAGATAAGATCCTTGGGTCTCTACCCATTGGCTTCATTTCTCATACCACCTATATTTGACAAAATCAGAAAAATAAAGGTCAACAGCCTAAAACATTCACCCCCTAAATAATGTTTGAAATATAAATGACAGCAGCTTTGCTTGGTTCAAGAAGTGAAGGGTAGATTTTTCTCATTTCTTCCTTATAGGGAGAAATTGGTTTTTCCAACTAGTGTACCTCTAAAAGAGCTAAAGACCCTTATACCATACTGTAACAGCTACACTAGGTACTGTTTATTGTGCACTCTCTAAGAGTCAGAAACTGTGCTTGGTGCTTCACATTCACTCTCCCTAATCTGCACAACAATCCTAGGTTAGGAGTTAATTTTCTTTCATCATAAAAGAGAAACCGAGTGTGCAGAAATGAGCTAATACAGGCCTAAGACTGATATCTTTTTTAAAGGTCTTCTTACAAGGTTGGCCCTTGCCTGGTGTCTAGGAACTTGGATTTCAGGAGGGTTTCCACCAATTTCCTAGTATGACTGGCTCACTGGGCCTAAACTTTGTAAAAACAATGTGGTTTATGTTGAACACCTGCTTTCCTTCCTGAAGTCTGGAATTCTGATATGCGGTAGCAGAGGATGCCTACATGACCATCTCCAATAAAGACTCTTGTCACTGAGTCTCCAGTGAGCATCCCTGGTAAACAACACTTCAACGTGTTACTACAACTCACTGAAGGAGGAATTAAGCATGTCCTATGTGACTCCGCTGGGAGAGGACTCTTGGAAGTTTGCACCTGTTCTCCTCTGAATTTCACCTCATCTGCCTTCTCCCTTTGACGATTTTCCTTTGTATCCTTTTAGTGTAATAAATCATAGCTATGATTATGATTATATCCTGAGAACTATGAGCCCTCCTAGCAAATTACTAAACCTGGAGTTGGTCCTGGGGATTCCCAACACACAATTCAGAAATGTTATTATAAGATAACCAAAGCTTGTTTATAAATAGCATAGTGAATAAATCAATTATCTTAAAAAAATCCACATCCCAATTCAATTTGTTGCTAAAACTTTTCTTTAAAAAATTCAAAGAAAATTAAATTCTTTTAATTAAGGCATTCAAAGCTCAAAGATACCATTTTTAAAAAAGTATAATCTTAACTTATTTATAATAAACACTAACATATATTAAGTGCTTACTATGAATTAAGCACTGTGCTAAGTGCTTTCATATGCATTATCTCATTTAATCCTCACAACAGGACTATGAGGTAGAGCCTTTAATCACCTACATTTTACAGATTAAAAAAAAGTAAAGTTTGAAGAAGTTAAGAAACTTGTCACGGTTCCACCAGCATGTGGTGGAGTCAGTATTCAAATCCAGATCAGTATGAATCCAATTTCCATTACAATGTTCATTATATTCCTTCCCACATAAAAGAGTAAAGAAACACAAAACATATTCCCAAATAACCTACTTCTCACTTTTTAAGCTATTATTCTTCATAACTGGCACCACAGTTCACCCTTTATATTAAAGAGTTGGGGACTTCCCTGGTGGTCCAGTGGTAAAGAATCCACCTTCCAATGCAGGGCATGCAAGTTCGATCCCTGGTTGGGGAACTAAGATCCCACAAGCCGTGGGGCAACTAAGCCCACACACCACAACTACTGAGCCCACACGCCTCAACTAGAGAGCCCGTGTGCCGCAAACTACAGAGCCCACACGCTCTGCAGCCCACTCCACAACGAGAGAGAAAATGTGCAGGCCATGACTAGAGAGAAGCCTGCATGCCGGCACGAAGAGCTTCCGTGCCGCAACGAAAGATCCCACATGTTGCAACTAAGACTTGATGCAGCCAAAAATAAGGTAAATAAATAAATAAAATATTTAAAAAAAAAAGAGTTGGCCATAATACAGGATCCAAAAATCATTCCTTTTTAGGTAAAATACAGATCATTAAAAAACAAGTTTTCTGGAAACATTTTTAAAGAAAGCCCAGCACAACTCTTGGCACATAAACTTTCTAGGAGAGTGGATATAGTTATCTCATTCTTTCCAATGGCTGCATTATGCTATGTTTCCTTTGTAAGAGAGTATCAAAATATATTTAAACATCTCCTCTACTGGAAGTCATTCAGAGTGTATGCTAGTACAAGCAATGCTGCAATGAATATCAAAGTATATGTCTTAGGTACTCATGATAGTACTCTGTGGGATGAATTTTTCCCTTGCAGTCAGATGGCTGGGTGGCAGGACACATATTTTAAAATTTTTGATTAGATACCAAATTTTTCTCCAAAATGGGTGTTCCAATTTATACTTCCACCAACAATGTATGAGGGTGCTCGCTTTACTATGCCTTCAATAGTACCTAATGTTATATTTTATATTTTTGTCAATCCGCTAGGTGAAAAATGGTATCATCTTGTTTTTGTTTTTTTGTTTTTTATTTTGCGGTACGCGGGTCTCTCACTGTCGTGGCCTCTCCCGTTGCGGAGCACAGGCTCCGGACGAGCGGGCCCAGCCGCTCCGCGGCATGTGGGATCTTCCCGGACCGGGGCACAAGCCCGCGTCCCCTGCACCAGCAGGCGGACCCTCAACCACTGCGCCACCAGGGAAGCCCAATCATCTTGTTTTAATTTCTATTTCTTTATTAGGGAGGTTCAGCACGTTGCATGTTCACTGGCCATTTATTCTTTTATATATTTTCTCTTCACATCCCTCAACAATTTTTCTATTGGCTTATCTTATTCTTTTGTAGAAGCTTTAAGTTTTTCATACATGGATATACACCCTTTATCTTTTATATTGGCTATAAACACTTTATCCTCATCTGTCGTTTATTTATTAAAGCTTGATTATGGTTTTACCGTAGTTTTACAATTTTTATGTAGTCAAGTATAACAATCTTCCCTCTATGACTTTGCCTTTGGTGTCATGCTTAGAAAGGTCCTCCCTACCCTAAGAGCTAAAATATAATCTAATTTTTTCTACTGTTTTTATTATTTTGTTTTACTTATATCTTCAAAAACATACTTTATTTATATCTTCAATACAAATGTAAGTTATTTTTGTGAGTGGTTTAAGATAGGAAGCTATAACGTCAGATGAGGTTACAGATTGGTGTAAAAAGAACAAATGCACATAGCTATCATAAATTTCTGAGATAATTTATCATGAATGGATACAAGAGAAGCAATCTGAAATGTCACTTGGGTATATTTTTAGATTCTATTTAGTCCATTAGTCTATTTGTTTCTTCCTGGGCTAGTACAACATATTTCATTTAGATGTATGTTTAGAGAAAATTCACATTAGAAGGTAAGCTTCACAAGGGCAAAACTCATACCATCCTTGGTGGCTGCCTTCTTACCTCTTTGGTTCACTGTTATATTCCCAGAGGCTAAACTAGCACTTGGCACGTGGTAGGTACTTAGTATTTATATATGTTGAAACAATGAATAAATGCACAAACTTTGGGTATTCCAAAACCTCAACTTCTTGATGCTCTGCTTTTCTCCTGGTTATAAATGGAAACCTCAGACTTCCGGTTGAAAGCCTTTTTAAAGTAAAATAGATTCACAACACTGTTTTTCCCCTCTGGCTAATATAATAAAACATCACTAAAACATCATCACCACCACCAAACATGCGTAGGGCTCTATGATAGACCCAAGGTTCACAAAGAGTTTATATAGGACAGATTTCCTGCTCACATTCTGGTTAGGAAAGAAAAGTATACACACAGACCTATATACGCACATATGTAAAATAAAATAATTATGTAAAATACATTACATGCCAAATAGGTGACACAGATGATAAGAATAAAGACCACAGAGTCAGAGGACAGGGTTTCCATGAACAAGCTTTCTTACCTGTAAACAAAATAATAATTCCTACCTCCTAGAGTAATTCAAGGTTTAGAAAAGAAGGCAACCACCAAAGATGGCCCTAAAATGTTGCATGACAGTAAAGTCTCAGAAATAATAACCATTCAGAGAGCTTTTACTTTATCCCATGAATTGTTTTCAATGCTTTCTTGTCCTAATTTAATCCTCTCAACAACTGTAAGGTATAATAAGTACTATTATTTTTTCCTCCCATTTTAATGATCAGTATCCTTAACTTTGGTTTGCACAAAGTCATACTGTACAGAGTATGAAGCTGGGGTTCAAACCCAAAGATTCTGGCTTTAGAACCCGAGCGCTTAACTACCTCAGGGAACAGTCTTAGTCCGCCTTAAAAGAGTAGAATTTGGACAAGCGGATAGGCTGCGAGAGACACATTCATCTACCTGCCTGGAACAATAAATTACAAACCTGGCGACGGTAGCAGTTAAGTAAGAAAGTTTTCGGATTACGTAATTACCCTGAAAAACCACCGTTATGGCAACCATTTGTAAACCTTCTCTTGGATTCTTCTCTTCTAATACAGCACTTCTCTCATCTTTACCCTTAAACTCACGAACTTTTGACAGAAAAAATGAAAAAAAAGACAATTATTTTTCAATTATTAATGCTATTACCCTGCTGCCAGAGCACAAGGTCTGGCCTTGATCTTTTGGGAATTCGGTCTTCAGGGCCGTGCCGTTACCGCCGCCACAGATCACTGTGAAGAAGATAAAGAAGGTAACCCAATGGATTCCAGCTGCAAGTAATCCTAAATATCTGCAGTTCCAAACTCTGAAACTTTTTTACCCGCCCCACTTCACCCTCCTCCCTCTATCCCAGTCCTTATACCACCAGGAACTTCCTCTGGAACATAAGGTCAAAAAACGATTGCTGAGGCAACGGCGTCGCCTTCAGTCAGGTCCACCGACCGCGTCTCTGAGGCCACGGGCGTCTCTACTCCGGATTCTAGAGCCGGCTTTCGTGCTATCTGGCCTTGGACAAGACATCAGGCCTAGTGCCCAGGCTCCGCCCCTCCCCCGCCTCAGTTTCCACACCAGATCTCCACAGAAAAGGCGTGGAGCAGGCCGATTCTCCCTTTAAGAGCTCCTACAAGACGGGTCGCTTGGTCCAGAAGCCTGCGGTCCGGGCCTCCCGGTATCCCGGGGCACCCTCCTTCCCCAGCCGCCCAGTCAGGTCGGCTACCTCAGTCCTGCTTCACGCTGCTCCGCCGAATAACCCCGCCCCCACCGCGCACCTCAGAAACGCGGCGTGCCGGGGTCTGCGTGCGTCGCAACGTGGGAAATGGAGCCTGGCTGCAGGACCAGGAGCCTCGGGGCCAAGGGGCGGGGCGCCAATCTCCAGGAGGCCAATCAGCACGCGAGAGGCCGGGTGGGACCGCGCTTGTCGGCCGCGGGGCGGAGGCTATGGTGGCCACGCCCGCGGCGGCCGAGCGCCTGTTCTTCAGGCTGAGTTGGCAGAGGGTAGTGAGCGTCGGTGGCCGAGGCAGAGTTGGAGCCGGAGGAGAATGATGAATGGAATCGCGGGAACTTCGCATATTGACAGTCGCGAGCGGGTTCTCAAGTTAGGGGAGAGTTTTGAGAAGCAGCCGCGCTGCGCCTTCCACACTGTGCGCTGTGAGTGAGGACGACCCCCGGGGCAACTGGGGGGAGCTCTGGGTATGGGGGTGCGGAAGCACAACTCTCTCCAAGTCGTGTTCGAACAGAGGCCCCCACCCCTTATTCTATGGGAGAATGCGGTGCCCAGCGCGACCCGCTGCCCTGTCCGGAGTGCTAGGGGACCGGTGGAAGCAGCCTGGTCGAGCAGGTGTGGGTAATTCTGAGCAGAGAGATTTAGGTAAGACCAGCAGGTAGAAAGGGACGCTTTGTGGAGGAGGTCTACAGGGGTGACTATGGGTGGAGGCAGACGTGACTGGCGGATCATGCAGAGGTGGTAAGGAAAGTATACAGTTGACCCTTGAACAACGCAGGGGTTAGGGACGTCGACCCCGCGCAGTGGAAAATCCACGGACTGCTATCTCTGCCTCAAAAACGAAGGAATCGATACATGACTCACCCAAGATCCCGAAGCTGAAGCCGTTTGGGTAGAATCAGGACTCAAACTCTGTAGTTTTTTTCATTACACGTATTGTGATCTCTAATGGAACACAGACTTTTCCCCACACTTCGTTAATTTAAAGATCTGTAAGATGAAAATACAGATACTCTATTTAATGGAAAAAATCCTCATGTAAGTGGACCCGTGCGGTGCAGACCGGTGCGTGTTATTCAAGGAACAGCTGTAATAAGGTGACAAATGGAAGGGGGCAAAGGGAAATGGGAAGGGAAAATGCCTTTAGGTTGGTAGGGAAACATTCTCTCCCTTCTTAACTTTTGGTGTCTGGCTGATGAAAATGCCTTTAGGTTGGTAGGAAAACATTCTCTCCTTTCTTCACTTTTGGTGTCTGACTGATGAGGGTTCTTATTTACTGTGTTCCTGGAGAAATATTCTGGACGATTCTAATAATCTGTATCTCTTTTGGACCCCTGATTTCATTCAGTCACTTATCAAATACTGATTATCACTGTACTGAAGGGTGTGTTATGAATTTATTAGAAAGATATTTACCCCCTGTGATTTCTCCTTTTGGTTTCCCTTTGTCCTCTGGAACTAGTTTTGATACATTTTTCTCTTTTATGTTATTGAGGCTACCTCAGTTCTGCTTCAATAGTTGGATGCTTTAATAGTTGGATGGTGTAGATTCCAGGAAGGAAAATATAGTATATTATGATTTGGTATGTAAAACATTCATTTTTTGCATAATAGCCCTCATAGAATTATAGAGTGGGAAGGAAACTTTGAGATCATTGAATCATAACCTCTTATTTTTCTGTGGCCAAATTGTAAAGTAGGTATTTTTTCACTTCCTCTTTCTAGCCCTGCCCTTCCTTAGTGTCTCATCATTCCACCCTTCTCAGTCATTCTGTCCTTAGACTGTTCAGAGATCTTTATGGTTTTTACTCTGAAGTGTTCCATGTTTCAATTAAAACTCACATTCTCCAAAAGTTTACTTAAGTTGTACACAATCTAATTACAGTAACTCAGAGTAAAGGTATGAAGAACCAATAAGTTTAACTCTCCAAGGATATATTTACATTTTATGAAAGGATTTTATTAAGCAAAATTAATATCCGGTTGATAGAATAAATGGGGGCGATATCTGCAAACAGATCTTCAACACTGTCCCTTCTTTACCATACTTTGTGGTCTAAGACCTTGAAACAGCTAGTGCTGGCTGTGCAGTTTCTCTCCTTCTTCAGCCCCATTTTTCAGAAGTATGATGTAGTTCTTACCTGGTTTCTCCATGCCTTTCTCTCAAGTAATAACTTCCCTCTCCTTTCTTCTTCTTTCTCAGGTATGCAGTAATCTTAGTATCAGTTTTTTTAATGATAAGGTTTGAGATTATACAAATTTGCTCAAGAATCTATTTTCGTGTAACTTGGGTATATAGTCTCTTTTTAAGGGCATAAGCCCCAAATTAAGTGAATAAGAAATAGCCTTCGAAAAGCACTTTGCAGGTGCTTCAAAGCCTTTTATTTATAAAAGTTCTCAAAATGCTGGAATCGTGTCTTCAGAATCAGAGTATCGGGTGATCCTGTTACAAGAATGAAAATAAACAAAACAACAATAATAATAACCACAAAAACCCCAAATGTTTGAATACACCTTTAGTCCTGTGGAAGACATCAGAAAGGTTTTCAGCCCTTAGTTTTATTCTTGTTGAAGCAGACAGAACCTTTCTAGATTTATTAAAAGAAAACCAATCATTATCCTTGAGGATAGGTTCATTTCCCATATGATTCTCATCCTTAAGGACTCAGAGTGAGGGATGGAAACTATAGAGTTTCATACAGGCAGGTGGATATGATTTATTTATTTTTTTTAAAAATTGCACATTTTTCTTTCTGAAAACCAAAAATGTTTAGTATTTTTAATTATCACTACTACATATAAAGAGATGTTTTTTCCTCAGGGAACTGAAGAAGAACTTTGTTTCTATTTTCAGAAAAATATACTCATGTTTAAGCTCTGTAATAAAGTAGAACAGAAATACACACAGATAATACATTAATTTCAACTTTTTATTAACATGTAAAATAGACAATTCACTTTAAGTTGCTGAGCTCATCTTATCTATAGAATGAAGCAATAAATTCAGCCATTCTATCATTTTTTATTAAAATTATGAACTGCCCTTAAATTGATAGGTATGTGAAAAATACAATATTTTCAATATCAGTTTTATATAATGCTTGAAGCTTTCATTCATTCACTAAATGTAAATATCTTTCTAAATCTTCTAAGTTTTTTTTAACAGGTAAGGCTGTAAAGATATATATTGAAAGTATCATGATAATTTGTAAGGATGGTTCAAATATATTTTAGCATGACATTTATTTATTTAAAATTTTTTTTATTGAAACATAGTTGGCATACAATATTATGTGAGTTTCAGGTTTCCTACATAATGATTTGACATTTGCATACATTATGAAATGATCACCAAGATAAGTCTAGTAACCATCTGTCCCCATACAAAGTTATTACAATATTATTGACCATGTTCCTTATGCTGTATATTATATCCCCATGACTTGTTTCTTATGTAACTGGAGGCTTGTACTTCTTAATCCCCTTCAGGGTGGACCTAATTTATAACAAATCAATGTTACCTGGGAGAAAGTAGTATTCTATCTTTATGTACTTGGGTAATGATGCCTGTTCAATACACTGAGGTTTTGGAAAAACCTGGATGTGAATTCTGACCTCCACCACCTATATGTGTAATGTAACTTTGGTAATATTCTCGAAGCTTTCAGTCTCAGTTTTCTTAAATGTAAAATGGAAATTGTAATATCTACATTTCAGAGTTTCAGGATTAAGTAAGATAGTATAAACAACTTAGCACAGTTTTTGGTGCATGGTAGAGAATAAATAGTAGTCACCATTATTATTGAAGGGTTATATTCATGTGTGTATGCAGAGTGCCAATAAATGTACTTTACCTAGACTTTCAAAAAGCATTTATCGGGCTTCCCTGGTGGTGCAGTGGTTGAGAGTCCGCCTGCCGATGCAGGGGATGCGTTCATGCCCCGGTCTGGGAAGATCCCACATGCCGCGGAGCGGCTGGGCCCGTGCGTCCGGAGCCTGTGCTCCGCAACGGGAGAGGCCACAACAGTGAGAGGCCCGCGTACTGCAAAAAAAAAAAAAAAGCATTTATCAGGGCTTGGCAGTAAAACCTATCAAAAACATAGTCTGGCATGTGGTAGGGAAGACGTGGGATGTTCTGTAAATGATAAACTTAATGCTTAACAGCAGATGCTTCACTGGATAGAAGAGTTTGAGCAATAGGACCCATTAGAATAAATTTTGGATTTGAGCTAGTACTAGTTTTACAATTTATAACCAGATAAGGGAATAAAGATTGAAATTCCTAAGTTTGTAAATGACACCATTTTTTCCTGTCATGAAATGATGAGCTCATGGACAGTGACTACAGGAAGATTGTCTGAGGCACCAAGTGGAGCCACTCCCAAAAAACTGGTTGTTAAGCTTTGGTATGGGCACACATTAGAAAGTACACTAATGAAAAATAGGATTGAAATTATATTTACAATTAATGTTCTCTGATTAGTGTGGTATACTGGAAAGGGTATGGGTTTTGGAGTTAGTTGAATTAGTTCAGATCCCAGGAAATAAATTTATGTTACTAATTGTGGACTCTTTTGTGAAGATATTGACATTGTGTGATGCTACAGCCAAAATAGTCAGAGAAGTGATGAACAATGATAGGAAAAGTGTTGAGAATAAGGCAGGAAATGTTTTTCCACTCTTTATGTAATATAAGTAATTGTATTGTAAATCTGAAGAAAATAACATAAATGAAGGAAATCCAGAGAAAATAAACGATAAAATTAGTGGTGAGGCTTCCAAACCAAGAAGAACCAAAAGAAATAAACTATTTAGTCTGGAATCATTCCAACTTAGAAGAGAATACATTTGACATTAGAAAACATATGGAAAGCATGAACATGAGATTATTCAACAAATTCTGTAGTTCTAGAGCTATATTTAACCCCTTGAATCTCAAA